AAAACACCTGGAGATGCCGGGGATTGAACCTGTGGCCTCGTACACGCGAAGCACGCATACTACACATATTTACAAGCAAACAATGTTCCCCAGGGGTGGGAGAGGAATCTACCCTCTGCTCTCCTGAATTTGGGGTTCAAGTCCTAGGATTCCAGGCCTCCTGCAGTACTTCTTATTGAAAGCTTTTGTTCAACAGAAGGCAGATCTGAATGCTGAACAATTCAGTACTCCTATAAAAGCTTCACTCTACTTCTAGCAACATCTTACAGCTTGAAAAAAAGCTTGTTGAAACTTGTAACAGCTTTTGATTATTTGAGGGTTGGGAGGTTGGCTAAGGCTTTACTTATCCATCTGTGAGACAGTCATTTTCTTTTGCGAAAAGAGAATTTGATTGCGAACATTCTTACAAAATAGCAAATAGAATGTGGTGTGGCAACCGCAGTCATTTTTGTCAATACTTATTGTTCAGTACTGTGCGAGAAGCTTAGCTTGTTTGCATTGTGTTACTATACAATCATGAAGACAAAATAAGTCAATAACTGAGACAACCAAATGTAGACAATTTAGTTAGTGCCTTTTATTTTCTTTCATAATAGCCTATCCAGTTTTCAATGCACTTAAATGCATTTTGCAGGCTTTAACATAATGCTTGTTAAATTTAAAACTCAGAATACCTTTTCTATTTCAAATATTTCTTTTCAGATTGAGTTATAAGAATTTTAACAATACATTTTATAGTAATAATGATAGTGATAATCTTAATTCTATTCATGTAAGAATGATGTCCTTCTTTACAAGTACCTTGCTAAAGTGGGGTTAGGTGGGTGGTGTGGAGAAAAAGCCATACACAAGATGGGTATAATGAATCTGAGGCCTTCTTTGGTTCTTCTAACACAGGTGTGGGGAACTTTTAGCTTTCCAGATGTTGCTGTACCACATCAGCCCTAGCAAGCATGGCTGATGGCCAGGGATGATGGGAGCTGTGGTTCAGCGACATCTGGGCAGACAAATGTTCCTAACAACTAATCTGTATAAAAATGTTCCAGGATCAGTGGTTCGTAGCATGATGCAATGGTGTTGACTGTGGCGAAAGAGAATCATAGAGTTGGAAGGAACCCTAAGGATCATCTAGTCCAACCCCCTGCACTGCAGGAATAGGCAGCTGTCCCTTATGGGGATTGAACCTGCAACCTTGGTATTATCAGCCCCACTATCTAACCAGCTGAGCTATCCAGGTGTTGAAGAGTTATCAGAGCCCTTGCACTGAACTGGAGCACATGAACAAATATATTAGAATCTGGATGCTCAAGCCCACATGGTAATTACTGTGGGGAAAGGGAAATGTGAAATAGGGGTGTGTGTGTGAACTTCCCATATTTGACATAAAGCAAACTTTGTAGATGCCACAAATGACCCCTTAAGCAAAACTACCTGATTCCGTGGCCCCCTCCCAATCCCTTCCTCTTTATTCTCCTCTAGCTTCCCCCATTGCTGCCATTCTCCCACTCTTGAAAACTGGGAGTGGAGAATTATGAAAAGGGTTTGCTCCAGCCCATTCATTAGATGTGGAGGAAATTCTTTTTCGAGACATCCCTTTTAGTATTTCAGAAACCCTTTACCCCAGAGCACAATAGTGATTCTAGTCAGTTTGGGACCTCATGGGGTTAATTGAATGCTTCGGTTCTTGTGGCAAGTTTCCTTTCTCTTTAATGGCCTTCAACAACCACATGCTTTCTGCTCAATGAGCATAAAAGGTTTGGGTGGGTTTTATTGACTTAAGATTAGCTCTATTATTTCTATATATTTCTTTTATTAAAATGTTAATGCAGGGGAGCTGTCATAGCAGGCTGGTGTGTGAGAAAATGGGGGCTCTGTGTGAACTATTACTTCTGCCAAACTTGCTCCAAGATTTTCTTGAATGCAGGCTTCTGGCACAGCCTTTGAGCTGACAGCTATTTGCCACTGAATGCTAGTACAGTGTTACTGGAACCCAGAAGATCCAAAGCTGGGTCTATTGCATTGGCCCTTATCTTTTTTTATATAGCAGGGGCAGGAAATCTGTGGCACTCCAGATGTTGTTGGACTGCAACTCCCATCAGCTCCAACCATAATTGTCTACATACATGGATGATGGGAATTGTAGTCTAGCAGCATCTGGAGGGATATAGGTTCTGAGTGCACTACGAAGCTCAGTACTAGTGAGACTCCAGCCATTTCCCAACTTTAACCTGCCCAGAGGCAAATCTCTGTGATGGGCACTTGCCACTAGTTCTTAAATACCTTTGGAACCTAACGGGTTACTCTCTGGTGTCAACAGTGTAAAAATAATAACCTCAGGGTATTTTAGACATTCCAACAAACAGTTGCCCAATTGCCAGCAGGGAACACAAGGTTCTAATCATATGGAAATAGACAGGTGTGTACCTGTCCATTATAATGTTTTGCATCATCATGCAGACCAGGGGTGGGTTGTTGTTGTTTTTTTTGCAAAATCTCCCCCCAAAATGAAATCCCAACACTTCTGATATGGGCTGCCATATGCCCGGGTTTTTCAGGACATTTTAACTGGTTTCTGAGAATTCTGCCCAGACGCTATTTTCTACAGATGAATCCCAGATATGTCTGGGAAATTCCGAATGTATGGCAGCGCTACTAGTTAGCTGCCCCTGAGCCACACCAAATATAATAAAGCTGTTATTAAAATTGCAAATGGAGCTTGCTCATTTATGCATGAAGCAACTGGATAAGCAGCTGGACAAACGTGGACTTGCGTTGTGTACGTACTTTTGTTTTTCTGGAATTTTCATTTAGAAATCTTTTGTATTGCTGTCTCAACACTTCCATTGTATTTCAATTAACTGTCAGCCTTTGAGAAAGGGTGCCTTTAAAAATTAAGCTTCACTGTCAAAATGAATATTGGAAGGGGAAAAGGGTGGTGTTCTTTCTTTCTTTTCAAATAGGCAGTTGCCATGCAAGAAGGGAGCAAGTCAAGCTTTTAACTGCAGCCATGCTGTTAAGAATCCCTCTCACACACCTCAATATGCAACATTGACTTTGTGCCTGTTTTCAGAAGCTTCTATATCACACCAGTCATTATTTGTGTAATTTGATAGTGGGTGGGGTTTTTTTTGTTTTTTTTTAACCATTTGCTATCAATCTGGCCAAATTGACAAATTAATATATGTTGGGCAGATTTAATTCATCTGTTTGTGTGCTTGTGTATGTTTAGACTTTCTAGACTAGTGATCCACTCAAGAGAAATTTGATGTTGTTACCCCTAATAACAACAATATTCTGCGCATTTGGTAATATTGCAGATGCCCTTGTGCATAATGCAACTGTAGTAGAGCAAATGTGTTCACAAAGTACAGTTCTGCAGGATGCTTGCCTGAGATATCATAGAACTGTAGAGTTGGAAGGGACCCCAAGAGTCATCTAGTCCAACCCCCTGCAATGCATTACTCTGCCATCCCTTCTAACTTGGAAATGCCATTTCACATCCTAATCTTCAAAACTGCTAAGGTTTGCCAACACTAACAGATATGTAGAATGGAAAACTTACAGGTAATTGTTGTTGTTGTTTTGCCTTTTCCTCTTTCAGATACTAATGTAATTCTAAACACCAGTATGTGGGATAAGAGTTATATGGCATTAATAACTTATCTTCTGCATTCACAGACCAGTTGATAATCAAAGCATAAGAACCAAGGTTTGCCATAATTTGCAGAAACCCGTGGTCAGTTTGTCCCCGAGCAATAGATAAGTCTATTTCAGTCTACCACCAGTGGTTCATAAAACCTGCAAACTTTTCAAATGAGGAATACAGTGGTTCCTCAGGTTACAGATGCTTCAGGTTACAGACTCCGCTAACCCAGAAATAGTACCTCAGGTTAAGAACTTTGCTTCAGGATGAGAACAGAAATCGTGTGGTGGCGGCGCAGCGGCAGCGGGAGGCCCCATTAGCTAAAGTAGTATCTCAGGTTAAGAATAGTTTCAGGTTAAGAACGGATCTCCAGAACAAATTACGTTCTTAACCCGAAGTACCACTGTACTGAAAAACAGGCACAACAGCTATATCCTTCTCTGATGCCACTCTGAAAACTAACTAAAAACAGAGGTGGTGCTTCAGAGCAACTCATGAATAATTCACTGTGTGCATGAGCAACATTACAATTATGTAATATTTATTTACCCCTAATTCTGTGAGGGGGTTTTTAAAAACAAAAAACAAAAACAATGCACACCCCCTTGCCCATCACAAATTAACAATGTACTTTTCTGTGAAGTAAATAACTAATTTATATTCCTCATTTAAAATAAATAAATCTTGATTTAAAGTCACCACTATGGGTTTCATTCTATTCACTTCAGGTGATTTTTGGATTGTTTCCAAAAGTAGCAACAGCTCCATAGGCTTCCTTTGTAATGCATGTTTAGCTCCTCTACAGCTGCTGTAGTTCTAGAAAAGGTTGCAACTCTGAAACTCTGGCAATATAAAAAGAAGAACAAGTGAGAGAGCTCCATGCAAAGCGAGCTTTCAAACCGACCCTTCTGCCTGCCGCGAATGCAGTTCTGAATTAATCCTACTCATTAACCGCTTTTAATACTGCAGCTGTTTCGACTTTCTCTGAAGAAGCTTCTTCAAAGTCCCTTTAAGCTGGTAACTCTGCCTTCTAAATTCCATCTTGCACCTCCGTGCACCAATAAATCCCCTTATATTCTCGCCTTACTTACAAGGATATAGCCTTACAAAAAACAACAAAAGTTGGTGACAGCAGTCTCATTTCAAGGGCGAGCCCAGCAGCTCTTCCTCCAAGCAGGTGACAAGGGAAACTTTGGCACGAGAGGGGGCAGCAAGCAGCCGACTTTGCCTCGCTTGCTGGCTCGCTCCGACCTTCTCTCCAGGTAGCAGGTGGGATCTTGGGGGGAGCCTGGGCGTGTCCCCGGCTGGGCTGCCTTCTGAAAACCCGCCCGCCTCTTGGGCACTCGAGGCCAGCAGCCCCAGCGCCGCGCAGCCCACTTGGACTTGCCAACGCGACGCGCTGACCTTTGCCCATCGCGGTCTCTCCGGCGTCAGCACCATGGACAGCGACTTTCTGCCTTCCCTCGAGGCGGCTGCCTTTCTGCGGCTCTGGCAGCGCTTCGACGCCGACGGTGAGTGCGCCCGGGAGAGGCTCTTTCCACTCTGGGAGTTAAATAGGGAAGGGACGGAGCGCACCTAGAAAAGGCGGTAGGCATGGGCGCTAGCTGGGGTGTTTCTTTGTCCGAGTTTTCTCGTTCTGCTTTGCAAGGAAGTTTTTGCTTTTCCAAGTTGCACGTTCCAATGCGATTTTCGACTAGCTTGTATTCCCGTGATCTCAGAGTGTCTTGTGTTCATGGGTGTGCAGAGGACATTAGGGTGGTTGGTGGGTCTGATTGAAGCCATTTAATTGAGAAGCAAGGCTAATTACAGATCCTCGTGGATCTCGATCAGCTGACTTTTTTCACCTATTATTGATTTTAGAATGCTGTATTATTTTACTGTTGTTAGCCGCTCTGAGCCCGGCTTCGGCTGGGGAGGGCAGGATATAAATAAAGTAATAATAATAATAATAATAATAATAATAATAATAATAATTTGCTGGTTAAAAGAAACACTGTTGTGTTTCAATACCGATTTTAATCCTGAAGAACTTATTGTTCTTGTTTTACACCATCAGTGTGCATGGTGTTGAGCAGCATAAGCAAAAGGACAGGTCCCTTCTCCAATGAGCTTACACTCCCAACCAGTCTTGTAAATTAGACCCCCAAAGTTACTACCATGCAAATAATAATAATAAAATACCAGCCTACTTAGGCTGGCAAAGGAGGAATGCAGAATCCCACTCTCCTTCCAGCTGTCTGCTTGATTTCTATGCTGGAGACTGAGAAAGTGGGGAGACCTCTGCACTTCTCCCCTCATTTGCCTGCCTGCAGTTGTTTGCCATTTATGCTTTCCAAGTTGATGCACGTTTGATTTAAATGGTTCTTCTTCATTAAACATCACACTAAAACAACACATCCCAAAATGTCTTAATACATTATTGTAACCCTAGATTGTGTACAACCTGGAACATGATGGACTGGGTATAAATAAATTATTATTGTTATTGTTGTTTTTATTTAGACATATTTATTCTGTTTTTAAATAAACATGTTAATTCTCTGATTATGCATTTATACATGCACGAAAACTTTATTCCTCTTTTGTGTACTTCAAAGTGTATGTGCCTGCAGTCTAAAGCTGTAGGCCTGCTCTGGCATATGCAGCCTGGCACCTTGTACCTATGTTTTCCAACCTTTGTATCAATACAGTTCTTGGCTATCTGATTGATATCAAAGGAGGCTGAAACAAGAGAAGCTCTTGGTGGATTTTGGACAAAGTTTCATATCTCTTATTTATTTGAAGAAGAGGAATATTTCAACTTAGAAAGCTGGAATAAAGTAACTGCATATTTAAACAATCTATCAAAGCAAAAAACAAACATTCACATTTTCTTTGTGTGTGTCTGTCAGTTTGGCTAAATGTTTGAGTTGTTACTAGATTTATGAAATGTTTATGTTGCATGTTATTTCTTCAGTTTAGATTCCGAACATTAATGGTACAATATTCAGTAATATGTTTTTAATCGGTTTTAGACAACGGTTACATAGAAGGGAAAGAGCTTGATAATTTTTTCCATCATCTGCTGAAGACACTGGGCAGTGAAGTAAGTACTGTGTCTTATGTTCTGCATGCAAATATAACCATGAGCATATGCAGAAGTTTTCTGCAAATTGATATTGAACATAGTTCCAAGAACTGGGGTTCCTTGTTGCAGGGCACTTTCAGGAAGATGAGAATTCTGCCACTCAGCTGTTTGGTAGGGGGAGGAGAAACATGGATTATCCACAACACACATTTAAATCACATGGCTTCTTCCAGCACCAAATTTAGGGCAGTGCAGGAGGTTTCCCTGCACAGAGTTTTGAGCTGAGGGGGCGCAAAACTGAGAAGATCTATAATTGAAAAGATCCATTTGGAGGTTCCAAATTTTAGCCTCGCTCAGGGCACCATATTACTAAAGATTACCAAAGTCTGCCCATGGTTCTCCCAAAGAATTGTGGGGGAACCCGCATAGAGCTACAACGCCCTTAACATACTACAGTTTCCAGGATTCTTTGAGGGAAGCCATGCACTTTAAATGCATGGTGTGGATGTGACCCACCTCTCTCCTTCCTGCCCAACACCTGATGAGACGTATCAGACACACACAATGTGGTATTGTGGTTAGAGCATTGGATTAGTACCTGGGAGTTGAAATATCCACTCAGCCATGAAGCTTGCTGGGTGACCCTGGGCCAGTCACCAACTCTCAACTTAACCTTTGTATTGTGAAGGCAATATGGAGAAAGGGAGAGTCATGCTGTATGCCTTGAGCTCCTTGGGGAAAAGTTGAATATTTTGTATAACTGCAATATGCAGTAATAAATAAATTCTACCCAGAGAGAGAGAAAGAGAACTCCCCATGCATGGCACTGGCAATGCCGTCCATACTGTTTTAGACCAAGCCAGGAGTGTGTAACCATATTTCTCTCCCCATCTACTTTGTTTTTCTTAGTAACAACATTCTAAGGTAAATAATGTTGTTCTTTGTGTGAGAGTTTTGCTCAGGTTCCTTTTGCAACAGGTGTGGCAACATTCTTATCACTGTTTGTGTTCTGAGTCCCTCTGCATTGGCCACCCACTCACTGGCCATAATTTTGGCATGAAGCAAATGCTAGGCTACTGACAAAAAAACACATTTAGATTAATGAAGGTGAGTCAAGAGGTTTGCATACACATTAATCTGGATGAAGGGAGTTAGGGCAGCAGGTGTCTTTTGCTTATTCAAAACATTGCTGATTAGTTTTGCAGATGCAAAATTCTGCTTTCCAAAATCAATTAACATGGGTCTTTCTCCAGAGTTAATTGACACTTGCTTAGGAAAATGGATCTGCTTGTAAACAGCTGTAAAATGAACGGTAGAATCAACAGCACAGTCAATTATTTGCATGTCCTGTTCTTTGCGGTTCTGTTTCATTTCCCCTGACATATTGCCCCTTTATTTTTGATTGCCACTAGCAAAAAGCCATGCTCTCAACTTGTGCTTACTTTCTTCTGTCTATTATCTGACTATCTGCAGTTGCCATAAACCACCAAAAAAGGAAATGAGTTCTGATTACTGTGATCTTGTTTTTGTGATCAGATATCCTGCCTTCATAAACTCTTCATAAACACCTTAACTCTTTGGATTCTCTTTTACTATCCAAGGAAAAATCATGAGAGAGAAGTAAGTTAAAGGAAGATGGGAAAGACCCCTGGATGATTAGAAATTATTTCTGAACTGCAACTGTGTGACCTTAGAATGACTGATAATAGGTTTAGTACCTCCAATGAGGCGAAGTGGACTCAACTTACTCATAGCAAACACTGCAAGCTGCTTCAGACATTATTTCCCACTATGTTGAGTTGCTGGTATTCTTCTTAAAGGGGAGGATGCATTTCATAATATATGAACAATAGGTGATTCTCTACATCTTAATGGGTTTCTGCTGTTTCAATAACAAAGCCCTGCTTTCTTAAACACTTCCCTACCAAACACTTGGAAGAGGGAAAGGAAAGGAAGTCAGACTGCGAGAAAGCGCAGAGTACATCATTTGCTTCTCATTTCTTGGACTGGGTGGAAAGTGTGGAAGATTCCCTTCCCCTGGCTGCTAACCATGAGGGTTATGCCCTGCCTTCACAGTCAGAGGCAGGAATGCTTCTGAGTACCAGTTGCTGGAAACCAAAGGAAGAGAGAATGCTCTGGTGGTTGGGTCCTGCTTGCAGCTTTCCAACAGGCCACTTTGAGAACAGGATACTGGACTAGATGGGCCATTGGTCGGATCCAGGTGCCTCTTCTTACATTATTATGTTTGTGTTGTTCTCCTCCCCTCAAATATCAGGCACCATGAAGGTTAAAGGGCAGGGTGAATAGGGCAGGCTTGTGTTTGTGGGAAGTAAGATCCTGCAGGGGACAAGGTAGCCCCCCAGGGTAGGAGCAGGGAACTGTTTCAGCCTAAGGACTGCCTGTCCCCCTGGGCAAGCTCGCAGAGGTCACAGGACAGTGGTGGAGCCAGGGGCAAGTGGGCAAAGCAAGATTGTAGACTGTCATCTTTGTACCGTCCGTTCAAAACTCAGAGGTTACCCTTACAAACACCTTCATCCAGCCAAACAAGAGGCATTGTCACAATTCAAGGACACATCCTGGCTCAGCAATTGCTCTTGAGAAGGACACAGGGCAGGACCAGTGAGGGGCATGGCCTGGGGAATGTCCTGTGAGTAGGTAGGCTGGCTAAAGAAGCCAGGGGGCACATTCAGCCCCTGATCCTAAGGTTGCCTCTGCCTCTTCTAGGCCTCTTGAAAAGCCAATGCTGGCATTTGCAGGCGAGACATGACTGGCATCTGGGGGATAAAGCATCCCTCCTCCTTCTTGCTTGCTCACTGATCTTCACCCAAGTGCCATCCTGTGACCCTGTTCTCCATTGTCTTGGTGCTCCTTCTGCCACACCTCTTGTGTGGACCACTTCTGCCTTTCCATGCCCTTGATGTTCTGCAGAGTTCTGTAGTGTAGACTCTAACAATGTTGTAATTCTGTAAGAGCAGCGAGTTGGAGGCTGGAAGAGCGTCTCCCAGTGGGGATTGATTTACAGTGACTTATTGAGTTATGAATTTGTCATACCGTGTTGGTGTGCATCAGAATGAGACGATCCTGCTTACCAAGCAAGCTAACTAAGTTGTTGTCAACAATAACCATTTCTACTTATATGCTTTGAAGATTAAAAGTGTTGGACGAAATAAAATGAATAGTTATTATGCACTCCGAAAGTTGTCTCTGTTTGAATAGCAAACTGTTCCATAATTATTGTTTTTAACCTCTGTGCACCCTGTTGTTATTTCTCCCTAATGACCACTGTAGTCTCTAGCGCTATGTTTCCCCTGCCTCTCTTTCATCTACTCTGAAGCGTTCTCAACTAATGCTAAAGGCAAGAAAAGGAACCCCAGCTGGGAGAACAAAAGACTGACCGAGTTCAGTGGGCATGCAAAATGGGAAAGGGGTGGAATGAATGAGGAAATGGAGGAGTCTGTGTTTGTTTTCATTTCTGGTTGCCCTACAGTGGTGACCATTTTGTGTGTGTGTGCTCAAATGGAGATCTGTGGGGTTTGTGCATAGCTTCAGACTTTTTAAGGGAACAGCTATATTGGCGACTGGAAGTCTCCTCTTTTAAAATATTTGTTCAGCTGGAAGTTCAGCCAACAAACTTCCATTATATCTCCTTCAGGGTGGCTGAGGGTGACAGTTTGAAATGGTGTGCTTGTGTCAAAATAGCTGCATTTCCCTCTAACAGACCTGGAAGTTAGGCTCAATCTTTTCCTGGTTACTGTTTCCATGTATTTTAAATGGAAATGGCGTTGAAATCCCTCCTCTGAGCATAATGGAGAATGACCTCACAACCTTAACTCACAATCCAGCAGGATTGCTGGTAAAGTTACCAACTTAATTTCATATTTAATGGAGAAATAATTAAACAATCTCTTAATAATTAATCTCTTTGCTGATATCACATTAAAATGAGAGCCCATAAATAAGGACAGAGCACTGAAACCCCAAGGAGAAGTTCTTGGTTGGCTATATATATGTTCTACTTAAAATACAGGAGCAAATCTTACATTTGTTACTAGCTGATGGAATACATGTGGCATTGCAGGAAGAAAGCTAAATTTAAAAGATCAAGATGACTATACAAAGGAAGGTCTATTTGAATATGTACTATTCTATTCTCACTTTTATTTTACTTTTTTGTTGGTTTTTAAATTGGTCTTAAACTTCTGTTACAGTCTCACTTTGGAAATTTTTAAACTATAATAACATGCGGTATTCTTTTAAAAAGATACTAGGGAAACCAAGCTTGCCCTTTTTCTTTATCTTTTTTTTAAAAAAACTCTGGTATATTGTTCAGTTGTATGCAAGATTATTTTAATGACGTCTTCAAAGAATTTAAAGCAGACAATATCTTTTTATATGGGATTAAAATATCTTGGAAGTGTCATGAAGTTTAATTAACCTGGCTCCCATAGAATTAACTTTTGGAGCAGAGGCAGAGCTCAGGGATATTTAACACTTGAAGTCTGATATTCTTCTGACAGGCTTTAAAGGCTACTCATAATGTATTAAAGCTTGTAGAAATAAGGCCATCTTATTTCTACAAGCTGTCATCGGCTTCTTGGTACATAAGGAGTCCTCTTATGTACAGTGTGGAACACAGTAATACAGTGAAATTGTTGTTTTGGCTGCCTGGTGACATTTATCTGAGCAATTATATCCCACCCTCCTGGTGCTAAAAATTGTTCACAGTTTCAGGCAGAGATCCTTAGCTGTACCTGCAAGGTGAGTTGGTTGTCTTACATGCAGAGGCAGCAACATATATCTGCAACATCTTACTGCTCTGGGTGGATGCATATGAGCAGTGAATCCTTTTCAGGAGCAGCAGTATTGCTTTGCCTTTAGGTGCCTCCCTTTGCAACTATCACCTGGAGTGCTGTTCTATGTTTTAGCCACAATTGCTCCCAGCCAGGAGTTCGATCTGCTCTTTGAAGATTTCAGAGACCAGGTTGATATCTTCCTCTTTTTGTCTGGTCCTGAGCCTTTCATATAAACGTGTAAGCTCTTGTTTCTATCTGTATGGATAGTGTGAGTGTCTAGTTTGGTCACAAAGTGGCACTGCACTTCATTTATATCTGGGTATGGTCAGGAGTTTCCTGCCACTATTCTATTCTTGTCTAAATAAAGTTATTGTCTTGTTGCTCACCAGAGCCTTCCATGACACCAACTGCTCCCAATCTTAGCTAAGCTAACTGCAATATAGGTCAATGTGCCTAGCTACCATGACTTTGTCTTTTCTTCCAATAATCTTTTTCCTTTCTCACATTTATATTCTGCCTTTCTTCCATCATGGAACCCAAGATGGCATACATGTGGCCTCCAAGAAGTCTCTTCCAGGCACTGATCAGACCCACTCCTGCTTAATGTTAGTTAGGTGGTGGCCCCATGTGCTCTTGGACTATTGTCATTTTGGTAAGGAACAAGTTGCTTCTGATAATGTATGTGTGTGCGTGCACATCACTTCCAAAGATGACTTCAAGGCAGGGTGTTAGGAAACCAGAACAAAATGGCTCTTGCTGCAGGCTCCCCTCCTTTCAGCCTAAGGGAGACATTCACTGCAGGTCCTGCATGGCTGGTCTTAAAAGAGATGGGATAGAACACATTGTACTCGGGGAAATTGGTTTTATCCTTAACCTGTTGCTTTTCATATCACAGAGCCCCGTAACAGAAGAAAAGGTGCAGAGGGTGAAAAAACGATTTATGTCAGCCTACGATGTGACTGCAGATGGACGCTTACAAATACAAGAGGTACCTAGCAGCCTTTTATTTTGCAGTGTTAGAAAATAGATGACAGGCAATTGAGGAATAATAATTGCACTGTTGCAAAGAGTGGGTTCACCGGTTCATTTAGATAATGTAGTATTGGAACTTTTTGTCCAAATGTCCTTTTGACAAAAGCATCTGTCAGGATTTTGCTGCTAGATTTTGTAGTTTTGCTCTGCTCTGCCCTGCTTCTGTCCTTGTGGTATAGCAATTTATTCCAAATAACAATAACATTAATGATGATGATGAAGAAGAAAATAACTGCATAGAGAACAGTTTGAGAAATGTAACCTTTCCCCCCTCCCCCCAAAAAAACTTTAGCTTGCAAGTATACTCTTGTCGGAGGATGAGAACTTCCTGCTTCTTTTCCGAAGAGAAACACCTTTGGACAACAGCGTGGAATTCATGCGGGTGGGTGTAATTTCCTGCTGTCTGTTTCCATCTTTCAAAGTATTTTGCATTGCATACTTTTAGTTGGTGTATTGGCCACATGCTGAGGCTCACATTTGTTTAACCTTGGGGTAGCTAACATGTAGCCCTCCAGAATTTATTGGACTCCAATTCCTAGCAGCCCCAGAAGCCAGCATAGCCAATGACCAGCGCTGATGAGAGTTGTAGTCCAATGACTCGGGGAAGGCCATAGCTTCCCTGCGCTTGGTTTGAACCCAAGTCTTTCCCAATCAAGTACAAAGCATGAGATGGAGGGTCGGATTCTGGGACCCCAAGAAAAGGCTCCAGGAAGTGTAACCTGGTACTTTGCTCCTTGTACCTGTCACTTCCTTGGCTCTGCATTCCACCCAACCAGTGCTTTCCCCAGTTGCACTCACTTCCAATATTAGAATTTAGTCCAGGAAAGAGCTCTGGAGGTGATAGAGAGCAAGGAAGTAAGTGAGGGAGAGGTGTGGGGCAGGTTCAGAATCCTCCCATACACCCACAGCTTTGCTCTCAAAAGTAGACCCTTCTTCTCCTGCTTTATCTCTAGTTTGCCCCCTCCATCACATATACGTTGAGCCTCAGCATCCTTCTCCATTGTGAAGCACAATGGCCTAGTTTGCATTATGCGGAACTTATCAGCCATGGAAGAAGCAGTGTGCAGCTTTTGGCCACAGATGGTCTGTGGGGATCTTTTGCACAGCTGTTTATTAAATTCAAGAATAATATTATCAGCTTTCATTACATAACAGAAGCTGTTAAGTGTTGTGTGCCTTTGAACTTTGGAACCTGAGAAATGAGATTACGAGGCTTGACGCTTAAAAGAATATACCTACTAGGTTAATGATTCAAGTCACCAACAACTCTCATTCTTCTTCCCAGACCACTCTCTGTCTTTTCAGTCCAATATAAAACATGGGATTGACACTGCAGCTACTGAAGGAGGGCCATTCTGGAGTCCTGGCTAAGAATGGGTCCATTGTGAGCACTAAGCCAAACTGTACATTACTCAAGGAGATCTCTGAGGAATCTCCTGATTCTTTTTAAAGCAATACTTAAAAATGAGATGGAAACTTCAACTGGTCCAAAATGTAGTGGCCAGATTACTGGCTGGGATTACATTTAGAATTCACACAAACCGTGTTTTGGCTGCCAGTTTGCTTCTGGGCCATATTCAAGGTGTCCAAGTTAGTGTTTAAAATCCTAAATGGCCCAGGCCCCAAATTTGACTCACAGCCTCCTTCCCTACAGATTTTCTCAGGTCTTTCAATCAGCAGAGAGGGCCTTCTTGGGAGTTCCACTGCCCTCAGAAATTCACAGTGGTAGCCTCTAAAGTGTGGAATTCCCTCCCCACAGAAGTGTGTTGAACACTTTCATTAGGTCACTTTCCTCAAATGCTGAAGATGCACCATTTTTTACCCTGCCATTTGACATCTGAGATTTATACTCAGCGTATTATCTTGACTGTACTTGGTTTTAACTGTTTTAATATTATATTTTTAATTGTTATAACCCACACTGGAGCTTCATAGTGAAGGGGCAGCAAATAAATTGGAACAACACCACAGAGGAAATACTCAGCTTCTGTAATTTTGTAACTGAGGCATTGAGTTGTTTATATTGCCCTTTCCAAGGTGGATACTATCAATTAGCTCCAGGTGGGTACCATCAAGTGCAATGGGAATTTTCTTTTTTAATCAAAATAAAATCTCTTCTAATCCGGGCCTAGTGTTTCAATCTAAAAATACCATCTAATGTCAACTACCACCTTAGGATGACTAAGAACAAGGGGATACAAATAGGAATACAAATAGCCACTTAGTCCCTTGATTGGCTGTGTTGTTTACATAACAAATAATGAATCTGAATATGCAACCATGGTAACGACATGTCCAGGTTAAGGATGAAAATTAATTTAAGTCTGATTACACACTTCTTTTAGATGGAACTTGTCAGTGACACATAAGGTTTTTTCCAGGTTTCAAAATCCTTGTTTTCTAAATATTTTGGAAAGAAACAAAATGTTAGTTAATAATTCCACGATGTCAATGCTGAGATGAGCCATTTAAGGTTGCCATATGTCCTCTTTTTCCAGGACACGTCCTCTTTTTCATGGATAGAGTCATCATAGCGATCCATGGTTAAAAGTAGAAGTCGGCAAATGTGTCCTCTTTTTTTGCTCTTCAAAATATGGCAGCCCTAGATGTGCACGCATGCATGTGCACACGTCAAACAGTTTATTTTAGAGATGGTGGGGTAATAGCCAAGATCTAGAGAACAAGCTAAATAAATGCTCAGTCTTAGAAAAGCAAATCAGTAACTCCACCTGCCTGCGTATTTTTGAATCTGACCTGCTGCTGGATAGCTCCAAATGAGTCTGGCATGTTCATCTACTGGGAGACTCAGCACAGCCTGAAGGAACATGAGCCCAGAAGAATCTCCTTCCCAAACTATCTGATTCATGAGCAATGGGCCTGATGCGATGGTGGCTACTTTCCATCTGATACTGTAGAGCAGCCCTTTCTTTCTGCTGTGGCTCCCCATGACGGAAGTACAAGGGAGAGTGGGCGTACAATTGCCACACAGTGAGCCCACTGAAGGGCTGCAACAGACTCCCATCGTCTGAAATCCTTCCCATGTTGGTTGCAACCCTTGTGAAAAATATAATCACTTACCCAAACTCCCGCTATCCAAACATTTGATATGTTCCATAGCACTTCATAAATGAGACTGAGATATAGTTACGTATTGAACATCTATTTGAAGATGATAACTGTTCACTCATTTCCCCCCTTTAGATCTGGCGCCAATATGATGTTGATAGCAGTGGTTTTATTTCAGCTGCCGAACTCAGAGTAAGTTCTCTAGGGAGTCTTTATCCAGATGCCTTCTTTACTCAATATGTATATTTTGATCATGTATAAAACATATTAAGTGCATTCAAGCAACTGCCTTCGTTTTTGTGAAGTGTGTGATGAAACAGGCCTTGATTCCTTTATATTATTCCTAGTATGAATCTAAAACACTAAAAACTACTTCTCTCCTTTCCTGACAAAGAACTTTCTGCAAGATCTTTTCCAGCAGCATGGAAAAACCATTTCTAAAGCAAAGCTGCAAGAATACACAGAAACCATGGTAAGCAGAGTGCATATTATCAAATACTTATGTTATTATAGAAATTCTCAGGAATTCTAGATAGCCAATATGGTAGTTGCACAAGATGGACCAACGTTGCAAAGGATGGTCAGGGGATATCTAAGGGGTGGGGGAAAGAAGGAGAGAGAGCTGTTGCTTCATCTGTGATGGGGAACCTCTTGGCCAGCTAGGGGGTCCAATTAGGCCAATGTGGCCATTGTCCCTGAAGCCTGTCATCCCAGCCGTGAGCTGCTGTCACTGATGGTTAGAAGTTATCTCCTTTGTGCTCAGAAGTCATCTGGTACCAACTACCAGTATTTATTCCCTATTCTATTTTATGACGACTTGTGTTTTGCTTTTGAATAAGTAATTGGACTGTACCTCAGAATAACATCCTGCTCGGGGAAAAGGGATTCTGTCATCCGGATTATGAGAGGGGTAAAAGAAAAGCAAAAAAATAAGCAAAGATTAAATCATAGCAAAAGAACTGAGAGCAGTTATCATAAAACTATTGCAGTGTGTACTGCTCCCATATTTCACACCAACCCACAGGCCCAATCTGACTGAGATTTGGTGTGGGTTTTTTCTCTCATATGCCTTGTTCTTGGCCTATGTAGTTGTTTTCAGCCTGGACTTAGCATGATCTCCATCACAAGCACAGACTACAATTTCATGGACCCCCAAAAAAACTATTTTAAAAAATAAACTGCATTATGATCAAGATGGAACCCATTATAACCTATTTAGGCTAGACTGAAAACTTATACTTTACAAGAATATTTGTGATATACACAAGAAGGATTTGAACAGGCACTAAATCTTTTATATCCATGCCCAGACAACTGATTTGTGGATACCATCTGTTGAGTTACTGCATATGTTAACATTGTAATCTTGCAGCAACCTGGTTGATTTCAGTAGGCTTTGAATCAGGTATTTGTGATTTCCTTTTATTTCTTGTGTCTTTCAATAAGTTGTTCCAGTACTTATTTGTCCACAGGAGAGTTGGTTTCAGATACGGCTCATTCCCCAGAGATGTACTGTTTTTAAGGAAGAGCCATTGAGGCACTTCATGCAAATGGGAAGCAGCTGTTACACAAGCTTGACCTTATATTGCGAAATTGACCTTGTCAAGTGGCCTCCTCAAGTATACATTGCACAAGAGGGATGACAAGGGAAGGAATCCTACCACAAAGGTCCCAAAGAGGTGACGAGCAATTATCCGTCAATACCTGTGGAAACTCTCTCATGAGACGATGAATTCTAGAGGGCACGTGTGTTTCTAAGCACATCATTCAGTTTAAGTGGTATCAAAGGCTGAAGGAGAAGAGAAGACCATGTTGTTCCAGGAGTGATCATCAGCTAAGGAAAAGGTTTGGTAAATGAACAACAAGTGGCTTGCCATTAGCATTCATCTGTCATGTCCCCTTTAAGTTCTATCTTTAATCATGCAACTAGGGAAGAAGGAAACCTACTGTAAAATTATTCTTATTATACTTATTATTAAGTGTCCTGCCCTTCATCCATAGATCATCATAGATTTTGCAACATTAAAATACAACATAAAAAGCCTGTACTTTTAGGGATCATTTCTATAGTGCTTAAAATACAACATAAGAACACAAAAAACATAAAAAACATAAACCAATAACACCACCCCATCCCTTTCCCACTCCCACCCCCAACACATTTAAAAGGTTATAGGGTGTTATCACTCAAAACCACTCAGAAATGTATCCAGTTCACTTTGTGGAAACTTAGCTCTGTTGACTGTCTCTATGTCCCTTATTGTATCCCAGTGTGCCCTGTATCAGTGTAACCCTTTTTAATTTCTAAGTTCAAATGCTACTTCCTTACATCTGACTTCCAGATTTTAGAAGTGTTTTTAATGTTCCCCAATCTCATTCGGATAAATTAGAGCGTACAGTCATTATTAAATCACCAGTACGTTTTTAAAGTCTGCAGTTCACAAAGCTACATCTTGTCAATGCCATATGCAAGGCAAGCTCATTACTGGTTTATTCATCAGCAAATCACATTACCTAGCCTGCCAAAATTATCACATCCTGGCTAAGGCTATTGTTATTCATTGACTAGAGTAGGAGGTCATGATAATATCAGACAAGCTGTCAGTGCTGGGCTTTCATTTGCACCACACAATATGCTTCTACTGAATAAAACAGCATCTAGTTTGTCTACAGAATCACAGATAGTTTAAGGCATATGAAAAATCCATGTGCTATGTTTCCATGGAGGTTTTGTTTGGATTAACTCCGTGCTTCCTATGTCTTCCTTCCCTTGCTGTCTCCACATCTGTCCAAATGTTTGTTGATTACGCTTGTTACTGGATATATTGGGTTCCAGGCATGCAAAACAGGTTCTGGAGATGAGCCCCGATTCAAATTAAACCATCCCTTTGTTTTTTGTAACCAAGCTCTCGCCACAGTTGCATGGGAAAATACTGTGAGCAGCAAGTTCCCATGACACTAGCAAAAAAACGAAACTTGTGAAAAATTATGGAATGTGTCGGGAAGGAGAAAGCGTCCTGCTCATATTAGGCTGGCTTGGAGGTGAATCTAAACCATAGTTTAGTGTTATGAGAATGAGTCTTGTTTCCCCTGGACTTGCACACTCCAGCCTCTCCCTTGTCCTTCAGCATGACTTTTCCAGTGGGAAGTTCAGGATATTTTACCTCCATTGTATCTTAACTACAGCTTTCTGTGTCCAGGGGTAGACTTTGGTCTTTCAAATTTCAGGGGTGGGGAAAAGGAGAGAGAGCTGTTGCTTGATCCTGGGATGGGGAACCTCTTGGCCAGATAGAGGCTTTGTAAACTATGGTTTGAAGGGAGCTTAGTTAAGGTTAACCACAGTTGACACAGCAGAGGCAGATTTAGGGCAGTTCAACCAGTTCTGTTGCACTGGACCCTGAGCCTAGGGGGCGCTGGAGGGCACCACAACTATGATGCAGTGAATTGAGCAGAACAGATGGCAAGAGTTAGAAGGGACACCAAATTTTGGCCTCACAACCTGGGAGGGTGAGATATTTACCGTATTTTCGCCCTATAGGACGCACTTTTTCCCCTCCAAAAATGAAGGGGAAATGTGTGTGCGTCCTATGGGGCGAATGCAGACTTTCGCTGAAGCCTGGAGAGCGAGAGAGTCGGTGCACTGACCCCTCTCGCTCTCCAGGCTTCAGGAAGCTCTGCGCAACCCTCGGGAGACCGGCTCCGATGGCCGCGCAGAGCTGCCTGCAGTCCCGGGCTCAGCGCAGCTCTGCGCGGCCATCGGGAGCCGGGCGCGAAGTCCCGCCCGGCTCCCGATGGCCGCGCAGAGCTGCCTGCAGTCCCGGGCTCAGCGCAGCTCTGCGCGGCCATCGGGAGCGGGGCACGAAGTCCCACCCGGCTCCCGATGGCTGCACAGAGGTGCCTGCAGTCCCGGGCTCAGCGCAGCTCTGCGCGGCCATCGGGAGCCGGGCGCGAAGTCCTGCCCGGCTCCCGATGGCTGCGCAGAGGTGCCTGCAGTCCCGGGCTCAGCGCAGCTCTGCGCGGCCATCAGGAGCCGGGCGCGAAGTCCTGCCCGGCTCCTGATGGCTGCGCAGAGGTGCCTGCAGTCCCGGGCTCAGCGCACCTCTCCCCATCGCCAGCCCCACAAGCTCGGGGGAGAGCGGGGAGGCGGAGCGCGCCTTCCCGCTGTTCCCCGACCTGGTTCTTCCAGCCCCGCACCTGGGGGGGAAATAAATTTTTTCCCCTTTATTTCCCCCCCAAAAAACTAGGTGCGTCCTATGGGGCGCAAAATACGGTACTTATGCATCTTGAGGTGTGTGTAGACAAACACATACGCAATAACATTTCCCCTTGTAGGTTTTTCAGAGCATCATCATTCCGAGAGAGGTAGCATTCATAAAGGAGAAGTTAAACTCTATCCCAGTGGTGAATATTTTACAGCTAATCTATGAGATACACAGTGTAGTCATATTCCAACACCTTAAAAAATTAAATTCAGTTTCTCAACCCTCTTTTATCATGAATTATTCAGGCTACTTTTCTCCTTTCTGAAAGTGATTGCCATTTTATAGCAACAGGGCTATAGCTGGGAAAGGACCCGGGGGGAGGGGGGACTTTGAAGAGAAGTGATTCAGCCTGGAGGGGAGCAATCAAAATATAGTTCAGGAAAATCTGAATATACCGGGGAGAACCTCTTACAGTCATCAGCATGAGTGCTTTGACATTAAGAGCCTGAAATTTCCCAGCGGAAGCATGTGCTTATGGAGGGAAAGCCATCTGTCAAACATACTCATCACGAAACTGAGTCGGATCAAACGCTCACTTATCTGTCTATCAGAAGGAAGATGGATGGTGCTCCACCATGTTTTCCAAGGACAGTTCCATAAAAATTGGGAAAGACAGAAGGAAGTTGGTATCGTTCTCGCGTATACATCCAACAGGCACACAATGCACTCTTTCAAAACTGTTTTGCGATCTGGGCAAATGTCCCATGATAAAATCTGAGAAGGAGAGAGGATTGCTTGTCCAGTCCTTGGCAAATCTGACATTATGCCCATCAAGGCTATGTGACTCCACAATGTGGGCAACATCACAATGAATAGTAAAATGCCCCTGTATATTGACTCATTGTGTATGCCAGGTTTCCTATATTAATGACAGTTTCATAAAGGCTTTCTTATCTTGCTTTTTAGATGAAGCTCTTTGACAAAAATAAAGATGGACGACTGGATCTCAATGACCTAGCAAGGTAGCTTCTAATGATTCTTCAGCTTATTCAGAAAGGGAGTGTTGAATCTGTGGTAGCTTCAACAGGCAAAACTTTCCTCATTGCTGTGTCTTCCCTCTACCCTAAATGCTAAATCTGTTGAATTCCTGCCTGTCACAAGGAACCAGCACTTCTAGAATTTGTCTAGAGAGAAAAAACGACAACCCTACTCATAATGTTACAGGCTTTTGTTTCTCAGACTGTTCATCTTTCCTCTTTGTGAGATCTATCAGGCAGAAATGCCTATCTCTGTATAACTGGTATCTGAGAAAATGACCATGTGTCTCTTTCCATTTAGAATTCTGGCTCTTCAGGAAAATTTTCTCCTTCAATTTAAACTGGATGTAAGTACAGTAATTTTAGTGCATTTAGTTACCTTTCCCCCTTTTCCCTTAAAAAAAAAACCCCCAAACATTTTAAAATATTTTTTCTCCTCCATTCAGGCTTGTAGTACAGAAGAAAGGAAGAGAGATTTTGAGAAAATCTTTGCACACTATGATGTTGTAAGATGATTTTTGGTTTCTTTCATGGGTTTGGGATTATTGCAAGCCCTGCAAGTGTCCCTATTTTCCAGGGACAGCCCCAAGTTTACAGAAGCCACCCCAGTTTCTGATTTGGTTCCGGAATGTCCCACTTTTCTTTAGGGTGTCCCTGTTTCCATCGGAGAAATGTTGGGAGGGTATGGTGGGACACCCCTATTTTCATTAAAGAAATGTTGAAGTGATGGAGTTTTGCAAAAAACCAACAACACCAACAAAACAACCCAAGGAGATAAGTGACTATACAACCTTTAGAAGATATCTGAAGACAGACCTGGTTTTTTTTTAATGTTTAATGTTTTATGATGTGTTTATATATATTGGAAGTCGCCTAGAGTGGCTGGGGCAATGCTATAGGTTGGGTGGGGTAGAATAATAATAATAATAATAATAATAATAATAATAATAAATAGAATAGGAAGTCCCTATGTTCATCTGAGAACTGTTGGAGGGTATGTTATTGTTGATCAAGTGGCACATCAGACTTTACAGACTTTGCATTAGAATAGCATGCAAGGAAATCAAGTGGATTCATTTATCTCATTAAAATATATATACAGCTTGATTGTTATTTTTTAAGAAAACCTTCAAAGCAATTTACAATGAGAATAAACAACAAATCTATTAGTAAAAACCATTAAACAACTCTATAGCCATCGTACTGGGCTCGCAGGGGCCAGGACACATGCCTGATCGTGGCGCCCTGTGAACCCAGCATAATTTTTGCAAGATTTGCAAAAACAACACAGGGCTCTTGGGGCACCGCAAGCAGGCGTGCACCCTGCTTTTCAGCAGTGGGGAGGGGCTGCTGCAGTGGCGTGCTCCACCCACGGCCCCAACCCCATGGTGTGCCCTGGTGCATGCCCGGGGCACAGGTGGGGAACGATCTGCCGCCGGCAGATTATTTGTGAGATGCACAAGTAGACCCGTTATAGCAGAAGTCGGAACAACTAGGTTTACAGCTGTCTTGTTCTCTTCTGAATCAGAATGTCTGAATCAGCTCTGATGACCACCTTCCTTGTAGCGCCGTTGCCATGACAAAACCTTATCAAAACAACAAGGAGCACACAGTGGATTTTCCATATGATTTGGAATGTCCATAGGCATATAGCTTGGGAGGTTGGAGATAATATTGCCAGAAAGAGAACAGGCACCCAAGTATTCATGGATGGATGTGTTTCTAGTCTGCAAAACTGTATGATTTTTACATGTATATATTCCAGAGTAAGACAGGAGCACTTGAAGGCCCAGAAGTGGACGGATTTGTAAAAGATATGATGGAACTTGTCAAGGTAACTACTTAGCGGTTTCCATGTTTTGTTTCCCATAGGTTTTGTGACAAATGTGGCTTGGTTTCAGTAGCTTAAAAGCATAAGGCACCAAAACAAATAACTGACTCCAGGTCTTTTGTGGAACAATAAAGAATGAGGAACGTCACTTTGTTAACTTGGGGGCCTGGGTAACCTAATGAAGTGATAAATTATGATGTGGACTTAGCTTTCCTTGTGACAGATTTATGAATGTAATAGACCCAATACAGCAGCTCTGAGGTGCACATGGTTTTCCAGGTACAAAAAGCTTCCTAATATTTCATTGAACCAGGAAGTGTTCCAAACACACACACACACACACACACACACACACACACACACAAACGCTTTGTGTCATGTGGAGCATTTTCCATTATAGAAGAGGATGGAAAGCATTGACCCATCTAGAACTCTGTGTCCCATAGGGCTTTGGCTATGTTCTCTTGCTGTACATACCTTGCACCATCATCACCTCTACCCCTTCTTCCAAATCCTCCAAACTGGGCACACAAGTGAAGGACTAATAGTAAAAACTTGGCCAGATTCATGTTTATACATTTAGAGAAGACACACACAGCATCATTCTATTTAGATAGCAGACAGTGGAGTGCAGTGTCAGTATTTACCTGACTCCCTGTCAACTGAGCCGCTGCTGTTTACTGGAACAGTGAGGGGCAAGGCAGTGAGAAGGTCTGCGTGGTGCAAATGCGCTGGCAGAGCCAGTCCGGTGCTGCTGTGTTTGCACTGTGCCAATCTCACTGCCACCTCTCTCCTCCACCTCATGTTAAGCAGAAGTGATTCAGCTGTCAGGAGATCAGCTAAGTGCTGCCACGACACCATCTGCTGCAGATCACAAATCCATTATTTCTCCTTTTCGTTTTTCTTTCTTTCCTTCTTTCAAGCTGTTCTGAGGCTTCCTATTCGCTGGCTCTTCTCCTCCTTTGTCTTCTTTGTTGTTCTTTGCTGTGGAATTCTCGTCCGTGCTTGATGTTAGAAAAATAACTCCTGAGAATGGATATTTTGTCCTCTGAAAGTAATTCTCTCTCTCTTTCCCCTCCTTCCCATTGTAGCCCAGCATCAGTGGCACTGACCTGGATAAGTTCCGCCAGATCCTGCTTCGCCATTGTGATGTGAACAAGGATGGGAAAATTCAAAAATCCGAACTCGCCTTGTGTCTGGGAATCAAAATTGCCCCATAGACCTGAATGTGCTTCTCCTGTGGCTTGCCAAATATTGTCTTTTGTGAGAGCCTGCTGGTCCTGGTAGAACATTTCCAGTGCTGTGTTAATAACCTCTGTTATGCTGAGCCTAGAAGATAGAGGCAACTCACAGTGCAGATGAGAATCTTCATTTGCAAGTCTTCAGCCCAGCAGAATACATGTAATGAACAGTAACAACACACATGCTGTTCCAAAGGAGATCTCGTCTGTGGGGTTTCTTACACATTTTTAAAACATGTTTCATATCTACAAACTACCCAGTCTGTCAGAAAGCTACATAGCCATTGTACCAGGACTGCTGCTATATAGCATCACACTTTGTTGTACTCTGCTCCCTGGGCTATATCCTTAAAACTATTGGTTCCTTCTTGGTAGTCCATGTCTGCGACAACTGTGTAGTGTGTGATACTCACAGTATCTTTCCCCCCCTTTTTTTAAGGCACAAAAGCTTGATGGTGTTGGAGGCAGTGTATTTGTAAAAGAATAAAAGCAACCGTTTAGAAATCAGAGTACAACTGGTGTGTGTATTACTTATAATATGTAACACCCTCCACCCTGATTTTAAATGGCAGGGGAGGACAAAGCTGAAAAACAGCAAAGGTTTGGCTGGACAGAAATATCCCCCCAAGTGATGCTAATCTTGGCACCAAAGCTGATCCTGATCAAGGGGTCTCATTTCAAGGGTCCCAAGTCTTTCTGGTTTAAGATCAAGTCTCTGCTCCATCTCCTTTCCTTCTAGTGGGAGCCATCTCTCTTGTGTGCTTCAACCCATAGAGTGATCATTGACAATGCTCCAACTTTTTCTTTTCAAAAAAAGAAAACCCTCCAGCTCTTTTTTGTGCAAGACTTTTGAGGTCCAGTATATGCTTGAATTCCTGCCAACCTAGCAGTTCGAAAGCATGTAAAAGTGCAAGTAGATAAATAGGTACCGCTCTGGCGGGAAGGTGAACGGCGTTTCCGTGTGCTGCTCTGGTTCGCCAGAAGCAGCTTAGTTATGCTGGCCACATGACCCGGAAGCTGTACGCCAGCTCCCTCGGCCAATAAAGCGAGATGAGTACTGCAACCCCAGAGTCGGCCACGACTGGACCTAATGGTCAGGGGTTTCATAATAAAAATGTGCTCATGCCACACTTGATAAGAAATACATTGGAAAACAAAAGCTGGAGAGCCGCAGGTTTCCCCATCATACTCACAGTTCCAAAATTCCAGCCCAACTGATTGAAATCTTGTGCTGTGGTCTAAACCACAGAGCCTAGGGCTTGCCGATAAGAAGGTCGGCGGTTCGAATCCCCGCGACGGGGTGAGCTTCTGTTGCTTGGTCCCTGCTCCTGCAAACCTAGCAGTTCGAAAGCATGTCAAAGTGCAAGTAGATAAATAGGTACCGCTCTGGCGGGAAGGTAAATGGTGTTTCTGTGCGCTGCTCTGGTTCGCCAGAAGCAGCTTAGTTATGCTGGCCACATGACCCGGAAGCTGTACGCCAGCTCCCTCGGCCAATAAAGCGAGATGAGTGCTGCAACCCCAGAGTCGGCCACGACTGGACCTAATGGTCAGGGGCCTTTATATGCTTGAATCCATCCATTCTGCTTTTCCCTACTTTAAGGCACAATAGTATATTTTTTTCTATGGCTTTGTAAATCCTAGCTGAGTCACAAGCAGGTACATTTGTATGAGGGTATGAGGGGAGTCGGTGGCGCTGAGCCTCTTAGGCTTGCCGATCAGAAGGTTGGCAGTTCAAATCCCTGCAATGGGGTGAGCCCCTGTTGTTCTGTCCCAGCTTCTGCCAACCTAGCAGTTCAAAAGCACACCAGTGCAAGTAGATAAATAGGTACCGCTGTGACGGGAAGGTAAATGGCGTTTGTGTGCACTCTGGCACTCATCACGGTGTCCCTTTGTGCCAGAAGCGGTTTAGTCATGCTGGTCACATGACTCGGAAAGCTGTCTGTGAACAAACACTGACTCCCTCAGCTTGGAGCAAGATGAGCACCACACCCCATAGTTGCCTTTGACTGGACTTAACTGTCCAGGGGTCCTTTACCTTTAACTTTTTTTAACCTTTGCATTTGTATACGATGTAAGTCTAATATATTTTGGATATCATTGAAGTTAGTCATATTCAGAGCAGAGCCCTTCAAATAAATCAACTTGTTAGTTCAGTCCATTGATTCCAGTGGGTCTACACTTCTGGGTTCCAAAATAATTTGGAATTAAAGATAACTGCCTCTTCCTTTCCCCTTTTCACCACCGCTAATTTTTTTTTTGCATTTTTATGTTCCCAACTCTGATGATGGCAATTGAAGTCATGCTGCTATTTGAACTTGAAAGATGGGTTTGTGTCCTGAATGTGCATACCACACATGCCTCTATGACATTTCAATATGCAAGGGAGTTGTTTTATTGCAAACAAACCAGGCTGACAAGCAAATAGAATGCCAAACAGGAGACTTAAAGCAAAGGCCTCATTTGGCTCAACCAGTTATATAAGGTGCCAGTAGAGAGAATGGGAAAGATTTGGTTTTGTGGCTCTGTTCATGATGTTATTCACTGCTTCCCTCTCTATTTAACCAGCTGCAACTTTTCTCCACCTTCCATGAGCCTTCACTGTGAGCCAAACAGATTGGCTGCAATCCAGGTAAAAGTTAAGCATTGCTCACTTAAACATTGACTGGGACTGAAATGTATTTCACCTTTTTTTGTAACCGGGCAAAATCTTTTCTCTTTTCAAAAAATTTAAAATCAGAAGAAGTGCCAGCAAAACTCCTCAGTATGGGGCACTGCCTAGAGCAGTAGTCACCAACCTGGTGGCTTCCAGATGTTGGCTGGGGCTGATAGGTGTTGGAAGCCAAGAACATCTGGAGAGAGCAGCAGGTGGGCTAAGGACCAGGGTGTTGGGCTGGATGTGCAAAATCCATGTCCAGTTCCCTCCCACCCTCCACCAGCTCTGAAGTTCATTTGGAGACCTGGCGGGCAAAGACACTAACTTTCCTAGATTGCTCTATGCTACTGGCAGGAAGGACAGGAAACAAATGGACATAAGAAATATGATTGCTTTCATCTCCGGGAAAAACATCAGGGAGGTTTAAGTGATTTTCGCATATGGCCCCCAAGAGGGATTACTTTCAAAACCTGGTACATATTTGAAGTTCGGCTAGAAGTTTTTAAAATTCAAGACAACTGCTTCTAGCTGTAAAATAATTGAGTGTTGGGAAACCTTGGTGGGCAGAAAAGGGACTATCATTTCAGGAAGAGGGGAAGACACATGACAAAGTTATTTCCTTCTTCGCCTTGTTTGAATACCGCAGAATATGTTATGAACACAGATCGGGTGTCTTGCCCGTTCTTACACAGGCAAAGGACTTTGCCCTTCGCATGCATTCCTAGTGCATAATTGTGGTTCCTCCAGATGTTCTTTTTACTCTGCATTCAACATGATTTGTGCTCATAATGGTATTGGGGCAGTTACATGTGATCCCCTTTCAATACTGTTTGCACCTGCAAATGTTTCAAGGCAGACATACTTTTACGTTGTCAATCACTGTATAGCCCATAACTTCCTGCTAAGATCCTGCAACTTTTTACACCACAATTTTTTGGGAGGGGAATGGGGGGGCAAATGGGGGAGCTGTCACACTTTTGTTGTGTTATAGTGCAGGAGTGTGCAACTAATAAAGCAAACAGGTGTGTGGATGGTCCACTGGAAATCCACCACTAATGCTCTATTATTGTATCAATGACATGTTGCAAAATATATCATTAAAAAAGCAGTCTGGAGAGACCCTTAGTAATCTGCTTATTTCAAAAATAATTGCTGCACATGCAAAACCAGTGAGTTTGCAATAGATATACGTGCCTTCTAGGAATTGCTGGACAGGATTGGAAAGCACAACGGGAGAATGCCTTCTTTCCTAAATGGCATACTTGTGGGAAAAGGAAATTCAGTTTCAGTCCAACTGCATACAAACAGGTATGGGTGTCTGGTTCCCAATGCCTTATCCCTAAATAATGGCACACAGATTAAAATTGTACCTAAAAGAACCTTATTAACTCAAAGGGCTGGTCCTAGACATTTTGCCACCTCAGGCAAAGGACAAGATGGTACCTCCTTCCCCGTTCCATGTATTGAAGTTAAGTGGATCAGCAGCTGAATTTTAAACTTAGAACATGTCCATTTTGCAGGAGAGCTGCTGTGGCTAAGGGAGAAGAGTAGCTTTCACAAGCCATCTGGGGTGGATAAGATCCAAATGTCAATGGCTGTCTCGGCCACACTCAATTTGCTGCCTGCCTATCCATATCAACTTTTCGGTGTGATGGGATGAAAGTCTAACATCCATGAAAAATATTCCAAATTCATTTCTGAAACTGTTGGAAAAGCCTCCAATAGTTCCCGTCAAACAGAGTGTCAAGAATAATGCATTTTCTGAAGCAGAAGAAACAGATTGTTTAGCTAAATTGTTTAAAATATGAAGAAACTAAAATTATCTGGGCTTCCTGGTATTACAAATCTGCAACGCACAAAGAAAACTTAGCAAAGGAAACAAACCCATTGAGAACTATGAGCTGCTTTGTTGATAAGAGTCTTGCAAGGGGGAGGAGAGAAACTGGGAGAAAAACCTCCCCCCCCCCCTTTGCAGTTTTTTTGTTTGTAAGATTCTCCCTAGCAACACAGATGGTTATCCTACTATGCTGAACAACTCAGAAACACAGGGAGGATTTTTGTTTACTGAACAGCATGTTCCAACTTTCCATTTCATTTTTTGCCTTCAAAGCTTCCAAGTAAGCCCTCGTGGCAACATAGCTACCAGTTGTTGAACAAAGCCAAAGCAAGCTGGGATATTGTTCTGGCTTTTTCCCAGAAACATCACAGCGGCATTCATACCCTTCATAATCAGGAGCCAGAAATGCCATCAGCTGCAAGTGTAAAAGCAGCTAGTCCAGAAGCCTGAATTGTGATGATTCCAGTGATGTTGGCACAGACCAGCGTGGTTTTCCTTTCCCCTGCTTCTGATTAATTGTGCCTCTAATTGCAGCAAGTCACAGAGCATCTGATCTGCCATGTGCCTTGAACTATGGGGTTGAATCAGACTTAGCATAGACCCATGGTTTCCAGTGGGACTACTCTAAGTAAGTCTGAATTCAAACCTCTAAAATAAAAGGTCAACCAGAGTGATGCAGTAGACATAGGAAATGCCAAAGTCTGCACTACATGTTCCCTTCATGGGGCCCAGGACTAGATGAGAATGAGCCTCAGTGTGTTGTAGGCTGTTTCGCTTCTCCTGCTGCTTCTGCTGCAAGGAGGAGTTTGAAAGTTTTCACTCCCTTTGGAAAGGAACTACCGCAGCTAGTTGTACTGTCCAAACCTAACAGATCTTAAATATGACCTGTGTGAAATAAGTCAGCTTCAAACCACCTAATTCATTTTGTAATTCATTAATGTAATTAAGGGTGTAAAATTCCATCACAGCAGACAGCATGACAAGGAACCCTGTTTTTGTTGGAAGCCAAACTGCAGCAG